GGCTGGGAGAACTCCCCGTGACCACCTGCCTGGCTCTCCGCCCGGGGTGCTCCACCTTGGGTCCTCTCCTCTGTGCTCCCCCAAGGTGATAGTGCTCCCCCCACGGCGACGGTGCCCCCCCACGGCGACGGTGCCCCCCCACGGCGACGGTGCCCCCCCACGGCGACAGTGCTCCCCCACGGTGATGGTGCTCCTGCTGTACATGCAGCTCTTCCACCCCTCGCCCGGTCTTCTCTCCCGGTCCTTCCTCTCTTCTCCCCTCAGGCCCTGGACAAGTGTGTCTGTCCTGAGGCCCCCAGACCTCTACTGCTCCTGGGGACTCGGGAAAGTCTGCTTTTGACTCAAGAACCAGACTCGTTTCCCACTGCAGATGGGCCCCACCCGGCCCTCTGGGTGTCGGCAGGGGCTGAGATGGCCACGGAAGGCCACCATTGTCCCCCACTTCTGTAAGGACGGGGCATCACCGCACCTCCCCGAAAACCGGGAGGGGCCATCTCGTGCCCCAGGGAGAGTCAAGAGCTGAGACCCTGGACCCCAGAGACCTTGCCAACGATGACCCTGGGCAGTGGGGATTCTGTCTATCTACCCTCCCCTGAGGCTGCTGCTTGCATACATGAGATGACACATGTCAGCCGGTTAGCACAGGGCCCAGCACGTAGTAGGTAATTAGCCAACACTAGCTGTATGATAAACCCTTTCTTGGAATAAGGTGAGTGATAAGCAGTCGGTAGGCAGTGAAGCCCCACTGACGGTTCTGGACCGTTGTAGAATGTTGTAGATGCAGGAAAGACGAAGGTCTGAAACAGACTGTTTATGAAGGTGCAAAGCGTAGAGGGAAATTACAGAGAACACGGTGGCGTCCCCACTCACCGGGGGCAAAGACGGGCTCAGGAATAAACGGGAAAATGGGCAGCACATCTGGCAAAAGACAGGATTTGCTGTGTAGTTCGCCGCAGAGAAAAGTGCAGCTGGTCCAGCGGCTGAAGTGCAGATGCGGGGGATCCCTCCTGAGCCTCGGGGTGGGGAAGGCTCTTGGGCCGTGACTCAGACCCGGGGGGGTAACACACTGACGCATACGGCTCGATGAAAACAAAATGATGGGGCAGCAGAAACACGGGAAACATAGTCGGAAGACAACCAGCAAATGGGGACGACTCCCTCACGTGTGCTGCAGACAGAGGTCCCGGTGTCTCTTCTAACACAGAGAGCTCCTTGGGTGCCTGCCTGGCTCAGCCGGTGGAGCCTGCGACTCTTGGTCTCGGGGTCGTGAGTTCGAGCCCCGTGGTGGGTTGTAGAGATGACTTAAATTCATTAAAAAAATAAAATAAAATAAAGAATTCTTTACAAAGGACCAGAAACCTGGCAGACACTGGGAAAGGACAGGAACAAGCATTCACAGAAAAGATCGATGAAGGTGAACCTGTCCCTGGGGGAAGGCGACCAGGCAGTGAGGACGCAGGCCTGAGCACGCGGGGCGCCAGCAGGGGGCGGGGCAGCTCCGTCACACACTGCTGGTGGGGACGAAGCCGCGCTCCCCCTGGAGGGACACAGGCAGTGCCTCCCCAAACCGCACTACACTGCTCCCTTCCACGCTACGTGAAATCGGAAAATACTGGGAACACCAAATGCCACCTCACAGGAAAGCGCCTGTAAGGTTAGGCGTGGTGGGGCGCCCGGAGGCTCCGTCTGCTAAGTGTCCCACTCTCGATCTCTGCTCAGGTCGTGATCTCACGGTTTGTGAGACTGAGCCCCGTGTCGGGCTCTGCGCTAATAGTGAGGAGCCTGCTTGGGATTCTCTCTCTCCCTCGCTGTCTGCCCCTCTGCAACTCGTGCACGCACGCCCTCTCTCTCAAAATAAATAAACTTAAGGGGCGCCTGGGGGGGCTCAGTCGGTTAAGCGTCCGACTTTGGCTCGGGTCGTGATCTCATGGTTTGTGGGTTCGAACCCCGCATCGGGCTCTGTGCTGACAGAGCTCAGAGCCTGGAGCCTGCTTCAGATTCTGTGTCTCCCTCTCTCTCTGATCCTCCCCTGCTCATGCTGGCTCTCTCTCTCTCAGAAATTAAGAAAAAAAAATTTAAAAAAAAACTTAAAAAAAGAGAATTATTCATGGTGCAATATTATCCAGCTGTAAAAACGGGGAGGGAGTTGTCCAGGCGCTGGTAAGAACCGATTTCCAGCAGAGTACGAGGAGAAGCACAGGACGGGGTAAGAACAGCCTTGGCACAGTACAACAAAGAAGCCCCGCAGCACACCGTCGGATAAGAGCATTTGTAGGCTTGTAGAAGAACATCACACACAGCACACTGTAGGACAGTAGAACACTGTCTACAGTTGATGTAAAACACTCCACATAAGAAACGATGCAAGAGAAAATTCGTACACCTGCTGATCTGTGCAAAAGAAACACACGACGGAAGATGCAGAAACAAGTGAGACGGATCGCCCACGGGAAATGGGTGGCGGGGGATGGGAGCGACGGGCCAGAGTCTGGATGAGGGGAGGTGACTTCTCCGAACCCACCTTTGAGAGCAGCTGACGCTGAGCGCAGTGTGATGGGCGGTTCTCGGCGTCAGCCTGGTCAGGCCACACTCCCCGGTTATTCAATCCCACACCAATCTGGGTGTTGCTGGGGAGTTGTGGGGACCCGCTTCCCATGCGTTGGCTTTAAGGACAGGGGGTTATCCCTGATAATGTGGGGGGGGCTCACCCGGTCAGGCCTTACGTCGGAGCTAGTTAAGAAATTCTGCCTCCCGGCCACAGCATCGGGCCTGCTGGCCAGCCCTGCGGGTTTCAGAATTGCCAGATTCCCCCGTCGCATAAACCGATTCCTTGTAATCAATAGTTAGTACAGTCACATATATAAATACCGCTGTTATTCAGCTTTCCCCCCACCGAGGCTACAGAACACTTCACCCATGTTTTCTTCCAGGGCTCCTAAGGTCTCCCTGGTAATATCTGAATTCCTGATGAGCATGTGTGTGTGTGTGTATCTTGGCTTCTAAACGACTTTTTAAAAAATAATTTCCATAATTTGTTTAAAAATGTTTTAACGTTTTTATTTATTATTTTTGAGAAACAGAGATAGAGCGCCAGCGAGGGAGGAGCAGAGAGAGAGCGAGACACAGAACCTGAAGCAGCTCCAGGCTCTGAGCTGCCAGCACAGAGCCCGACGCGGGGCTCAAAGCCACCAACTGCAAGATCGTGACCTGAGCTGAAGTCAGACACTTAACCGACTGAGCCCCCTCGGTGTCCCCTAAACGATATTCTTCAATAAACGGAATCAGGGCTTCCTTGCAGAAACAGCTGCTTCCGAGGACTGGGGGGCGGAGCAGAAAATGTACAAGATGATCCTAGAGAATCTTGGGGTACCGGAAAGAAAGGAAGTGCCCAAAGAAGGACGGGCAGGAGGGCATGTCAGAAGGGCACAAAAGCCAATGTGATGTTGCTCAAAAGGCCCAGCTGGGACCATTTAAGGTCGCTTGTGGGTACTTGGACCCAGCCGGGGAAGCCGGGATAAGCTCCCCATTCAAGTCACCTGCGCACAGCCCTAGTCCCAGCTGCAATTTCCTTCCCCCAATTTACGGGGACCTCGCTCCAGGCTCTCACCCTGCCGGCCTAGACCCGGGCCGCCAGCCGCAGCTGACGTGCTGACGTGCCGTTACAGTGGGGACTCCTGCTTCCAGCTCCCTCAAATATCTTGATTTTCTTTTTAAATAAAAGAAGTCTAGGGTGCCGGGTGGCTCTGTCGTTTAAGCGTCCGACTCTTGATCTTGGCTCAGGTCATGATATCACAATTCGTGAGTTCGAGCTCTGCGTCCGGCTCTGAGCTGACAGTGCGGAGCCTGCTTGGGATTCTCTCTCCTCTCTCTGTCCCTTCCCTGCTTGCTTCCTATCTCTCTATCTCAAATAAATAAATAAAAATTAAAGAAAAAAGTTGTAGCACCCACAGGCCTGCCTTTTATTTCCTTCTGTTTTACGTGCGGCTCTGCAGACGGCACTTTCTTTGGCCTGACTGATCATTACTCCCGTCTGTAAGCACCACTGGGGACTGTCTGGGTGGCTCCCGTTTCTACGAACACCTCACCCCTGCTTCACTGGGAACATCACCGGCCTTTCCCTGTCTGGGGCCGGGCCACCCGTCTGCAGGCCGTCCACACCACTCCGTGGTCGCTGGCTCAAGGCAGGCGGGGGGAGTGCTTGCCTTCAGGGACCCCACCGTGTCCGCCCTGGATCGGGTTAACGTGCAATCTTTAAACACAAATCCCTCTGCGGAGGCAGGAGGCCAATCGGTCTCCAGCACAGGCTGTTCTGATGCGAACAACCCGCTTCCTCCTTCCTGCACGAGTTGTGGCCCCCGTTCCGGAACGCAAGAGCCTGGGCTCCGTGGGGAGAGCCCCCGACCCCACTGAGGAATGCCTGGGGTCCCGGGTGGCCCCAGCGAGGCAGGAAGAAGGGCCTTGTGCAGAAGGCGGAAGTCACGGGGGGGAGGGGCTCAGTGCCAGCTGTCTTTGGCGGGGGTTCACGGGCCACCTCTCCGGGGACGGCCTGCCCTGTCACCCGGTGAAGCTCGGAGCCCCGAACAGGTGGGAAGCACAGCCTCACCCTGACCACGGGGACCCACGGAGCCGGCAGAGCCGGCCCTCCAAGCTGGGGCTCCTGCCACCGAGGCTCAGCCCCCGGGCACGGGACGGTGCTCTCTGTGGTCCCCCATATGCCTGCACATGGATGGGCCACGAGCGTCTCAGCTGCACACGGCCCAGACGGAACCCTCCCTCCGAGAGCTCCCCCTGTACCAGGCCCACCACCCACGTGGGGCCCGGGCGTCACGGACACGGCCTCCCCCCGCCCCTCACCACCCACACTCTCTTATCGCTGGCGCCCTCCTTCGCCCACGGCCACACCGTCACCCTCGACTGTGGTGGGGAACCCCTCACCGTGGCCTTGAGTGGACTCCTCGCACCAGCCACGTCCCTCCCGCCAGGGGACACGCGACACTCACTTGATGGTCTTGTCCCAGTCGCACCACAGCGTCTTCCCGATGGCCTCCATGTCCGCCTGGAACCGGGTGAGGCAGACTTCCTGGAGGAGGGCGTCGTAGTCGGCGTCCCGGCAGGCCGTGGCCAGGAAGAGGTGATGCACTGCAACGAAGCAGCCAGGGGTGTCAGCCTGTCTGGGACCCCACCCAGCCTCCCCTGCCCTCCCCGCACGCCCTCCCCTGCCCTCCCCGCACGCCCTCCCCTGCCCTCCCCTGCCCTCCCCGCACGCCCTCCCCTGCCCTCCCCTGCCCTCCCCGCACGCCCTCCCCTGCCCTCCCC